TATGATGAGGACTCTCTCCTTCTCTAGGACAAAAGTAATCTTGACTGCTATGATTCTGGGTATGCTTCTTTTTTAAATTTCTCTTTAGCTTGTTGTGCTTGTTTGTGCTAGAGAACTGTGCTACATGCCAATTTTCTTTGCTATGTATAAATATACGTACATACATGTATGACTTCATTTTTTATTTTCACCTTTTATTAAACCACTTGTGAACTCTCTTTTTGGTTTGTGTGTAATTTTTTATTAAATGTTACTGGTTAGCGCTTTAGAATAACTACAGATAATAAACGATTAACAATGCATTAGTTCATAGTTTATTCATCATTTTGTAAGCATTTTTACATCAAAGGATAGTACGCTATTAATAAACAACAAACTATAAATCTAATTAAATGCATGAGCCAGGGATCAATTCCGCTATCTCGCACATGCTAATCGAGCGCTCTACTATTTGAGCTAATCTCATAATCACCCTTACACAAAAATCATAGTCAGGGGCGCCGTATAGGGGGGAAAGTTAGGACAATTCCAAGGGCCCCTGACTGACAGGGGGGCCCAACAAATAGGTAAAACTAATTAAAATGATTTATTATATTATACACTATATAAACAATAATCATTGAGTATAATTCAAATAATAATACAATTAATGATGTCTGATTTTACTTATTTTGGCAATAAAAGTTAAATATCCCCCTTGACCAAAAAGTAAACATCCTTATAGTCCGACCACCCCCCTGTATCTGCATAAAATGGGTTGGTCCTGCTTTAGCGCGCTCAGTGAAGGTGTTTGTTTAGTTGCAGACAGTTAAGAAACAAAGATTACAATGTTGAATAGTATAGTTGGTACACAAGTAGTATATTCATATTAAATCATTGTCCATGCACCTGTTAGCAGACTTAACAACAGATGAGTCAGCAGCACCCCAGTCTCCCCATAACTGCACCCCTCCCTGTCCCAGTGAAGAAGGTGAGCAACATTGTGCTAATGGCTTAGCATCATCCAGGCCGTCTGTGTGGGGTTCTCTGTCTCTCGCTCTTTTTACCATAACAAAAAGAAGATGAAATATTTATTAATGACAGAAATCAAACACAAATAATTTTCTCACATAATGACCATTATGACATAAAAAAACTCCTGTCTGTACTGGATGCAGTTAGAAACAATGAGTAGCTTACCGCAATCTGCATGTGAGTTACAGACAATATTAAAATAATCTAGTTTGATCTAGCCGTTAAATGTCTATAGAAACAGACTTAATTATTCCCATCATGAAGGGCAATTTATTTGAGAAGCTTGCACACACACACACACAAATCTATCATATCTAATGTATGTAATCAAGTGGTGGTAAAACAGAACTATAGGTATATTGGGTCAATGTCCTGTAGTGTTAGTGTAATTTATTGGTATATGGCATATTTTAATATATATATTTACTGTATATAACACAGCATGTATATCCACATGCATTGTGTGCATCCTACAGAGCTAGGGCCCTTTCAGGTAGAAGGAGAAAGAAGTGTGGAAGCAAAGGAAGAAGGGAAAGAAAGTTACAGTGATGATGAGGACGAGAGATGCATGGTGGAAGAAGGCAGAAGTCATAAGCAGGATGTTGACCCAGTTTTGTGGCCAGCGGATTTGACTGACAGGGACAGGGAGGCTTTTGTGAGGGCACTGTTCACCAGAGATAATGATGTACTACCGCCACAGGATTCTGAGGGAAAACCATTCCCAGAATATTAATTGTACAGCATGGCAGCCAATGGGAGGGAAAAGGTGAAGAGAGACTGGGTAACTTACAGCAAATCTTCCAATGCACTGTATTGCATCCCATGTGTGCTTTACTCTCATTTACAAAAAATACCTTCTCTTAGTGCAGAGGGGGAGGACCTTCGGAACCTGACAACCAATCACAAACGACCATGCTGATTATTGACACGCCCTGTTAAAAAATATTCCCATGGTGTGCATATTTTAAAAACATCTAAAGTGAAAACATAAATTGAGTCTTATCGTATAGACATAGCGGGTCATTTGGCCTAGGAGATGTTATGTCAAAATGGTTCTGCAAGAGAATTTCTTTTAAAGCGTGGCTGACTGTGAGCTCAACGAGGAGTCTTCTTGTCGTTATGTCACTACGGATTTGCCTTGCTACGCAACTTTCAGTCAATCGACAGAACCTGAGTAGGGCTCGAAAGGACGACCTTAGTCTTATGAAGTACAAGTTGTTAGAATGCAAGGCAGCAGCCAATTTATTACTGGAAGGGATCCTGGTACACAAATAAGCCTCACGGAGCGGTGACAATGATATGGGCTGTGTGATGCTCGCTCTTTTTAGAAAACAAGTGTCAGATTTCGGCATATGATTTGGTGTGGGTGGGGCATTAGGGCGTTACAGTTGCCTATAATTAGATGTTGCAGCATTTCTTTCGTTATTGACCCTATGGTTATTGTAAGACCCTTACTGTTATCGAAAAAGCCTGTGGTTATCAAAGAGCCTGTGGTTATCAAAAGAGCCGGTGGTTATCAAAAGAGCCTGTGGTTATCGAAAGAGCCTGTGGTTATTGAAAGAGTCAGTGGTTATCAAAAGAGCCTGTGGTTATCGAAAGAGCCTGTGGTTATTGAAAGAGTCAGTGGTTATCAAAATAGCCTACGGTTATCGAAAGACCCTGTGGTTATTGAAAGAGTCAGTGGTTATCGAAAGAGTCTGTGGTTGTCGCAAGACCCGGTTGTTATCGCAAGACCCTGTGGTTATTGAAAGAGTCAGTGGTTATCGAAAGAGTCTGTGGTTATCGCAAGACCCAGTTGTTATCGCAAGAACCTGTGGTTATTGTCAGATCCTGTAGTTATTGTACGACCCTGTGATTGTCAAAACATAACCAGTTAATTCAGCTGGCTCCTGTCTACCTGGTTCCTGTTAAGCGTGAGCCAATTGAATGGGTAAGATTTGAATGTGTTGGCCCGTTGCCTTTCTGCTAATGATCCTTTAGAGAGGCGTAACATATTTGTTGGTGGTTATGTGGAAGTACGGTAACCGAAAAGGCTACTTAGTCATGTTCATTATATCCTTCTTCCTTCTTTCTAGCCTAGCATTTCAATATTCCTTATGCTTGCGTGGGTACCCAGTCTCATAGGGGTCTTAATTTGTGAGACACCCCAACAAAGGATTACATTGAGACGTAATAGAAATCTCACAAACCGAACCCTCATAAAACTCTAATCGGGTAGGACAAATAAACTCTAAGGATTTTCATTTGTGAGCTGTCTGCTGCCATCTGTTGGAAATATACAGTACTGAATGTAGAACATTTTTACAATATGCAGTTTACTTTTGGTGCCACTGTGCTCCTTAGATTTGACAGGAAAAGCCACAGTGAAAAACACCCCAAATTCGGCCTTTAAGACGAACATCTTATATATTAATTTAATCAGGAAAGCGTTAAATGTTTCACTTGTCCTGCACTTAACAGCTACAGCCTAGCTACTGTATGTGTTAGCTAGCTAGGTAGACATTACAAATGCCAAAATGCAGGATAAGGTTTAACAATTTTGATTAATATAATTCAAGCAACTTCATAAGGTTTTGGTCAGACATCCACAACTACAACTACAACATGCTTCTCGAGAACGTATTCAGAAAGTGTCAATACGTCCACAGACTGTGACCCATGTTAGCTGTCTAGTATGTTTACCTTCTGAGACCAGAACTGAGGTTTGTACATAGTTTATATGATGCTCCCAGGGAACTTTTAGTCATACGCAGAACCAGTCTGGGTTGTTCGTCTCACTGTTAGTGTGTTCATGGTCATTGTGTGCAAACAACCACGTCTAATTGCCAGTTTTAACAGTTCTTATCAGACCTCTAGGAGCATGATGGTCTGTTATCGATTGGGCTCACTTTTGATGAGTTTTACCATAACAACTTCTCTTTCATACTGACCTTGCAGGCTTAATGTGGCTTCAGCAGTTTTAAGCATGTGAGTGTGTGACTATGTGTGTGTGTGTGTGTGTGTGTGTGTGTGTGTGTGTGTGTGTGTGTGTGTGTGTGTATGTGTGTGTGTGTGTGTTGTAAAACTGTTAATGTCGGTGCATAAGCCCTGTTTATAGTAATTTATTAATCATACCACATTCTGTAAAGATAGATTGGCCTGTGCCACTAGTGTGTGATTCTAAGTGTCCATTATGGAGGAGTTGGTAGCTCAGTGGTAGAGTGCATGCTTTGTATGTATGATGTCCTGGGTTCCTATTGGAGGAGTTGGTAGCTCAGTGGTAGAGTGCATGCTTTGTATGTATGATGTCCTGGGTTCCTATTGGAGGAGTTGGTAGCTCAGTGGTAGAGGGCATGCTTTGTATGTACGATGTCCCCCCAGGTCGTCGTTCTCAATCAGCCTACCTGGTTAAATAAAAAATACAAATAAATGTATTTTCTGTGACTGAGAACACGTTATTAAAACTGTGATGTTTGTACTAGAAACGCCGTAATTTGATTGGCTAAAAACCTAGTGGGGAGGAGTTATCTGACACGCTCAGTCCACACGAGAGTGAAATCCATAGATACAAGTGTATATATCTATGAGTGAAATCAAGCAGGTGCGTGCTAGCGAGCGACTGTGTCGAAGACAACGGTAAACAGTGCTTTCTGTTAATACATACCCCATAAAAGAGTGAAACGTTTCCCTTTGCCCTTCAGCATATACATGTTTGCATCTCTCTCTTAGCCATATGGGCGGCGCTCAGAGTTTTAAAGAGAGAAACCTAATCTGGACTGGTGTGTGTGTGTGTGATCATCACATGGATGCCCGCTGGACTGTCATATCTTAACAAAAAGCTACGGTTCTGCTGAATAAAATATACATTTTGAGATATTTGCCTCTCAAGACCGGCATCACTCTCCTAGCCATGGGATTAATGCTGTTTGCACATTAGATGGTCATTTTTCTATATCTCATCGCTACCCCATAGTTGAATGTATCTGGAGGAGGTCGCTTTTAATCTGTGCTGTATTGTTCAGTGGTAGAGCATTTGACTGCAGATCAAGAAGCCCCAGGTTCAAATCCTTTTGCCTCCTGAAGCTGCTGTTCATGCCTTTTGAAATGTTTTGGCTTATATACTTTTCCTTCCTTCCTTTACACTTCCTTAACTTCAATGTGTTTTTATTCTCTCTGTTATCTGTTATACATTATCACAAAGCAAATATCATTTATTTTCTTCAGGTATCTTTCAGTAGGTGTTTGGGATGTCAATGAAGGCGTTGGGGAAGACCAATATTCTTGTATTTAACTGTTATACTTTCAGAAAATGCAGATGTATCTAAGGCTAGAGATTAAAAGTGTTTGAACAGATACAAATGGTGGCTGGATCCAGACCAAGTTGAAACATCTGTCATTCTGTCGTTGAGCAAGGCATCTTGTCTAAATTGCTCCCAGGTTTTTGCCAAAATAAAAATGGTCTTCTCAGTCAAAAAAGATATTATGTGTTAGGATCTTATGAGACAGACATTAATCTACTATAAAAAAGGCCTTATTGTCTTTGTGTATTTATTATGTCAGTTTTTAAATAATTTTAATAAAAATGTTTAGATGTATGTTCAGACACCTAATAGCCAATTTAACCATTGAGGGGTTATAGTTCCCAGAGTTGATCAGAGTTTTTGCTGAGGCAGTGGTTTGGCTGTGATCCAAAGCTGTTGGTGCAAAGCATCATGGCTCATTACAGGACATGCTTTAAGGCGTTGTCCAGCAGTAAAGCATCATGGTCCAGCAGTAAAGCATCATGGCTCATTACAGGACATGCTTTAAGGCGTTGTCCAGCAGTAAGCAAATTCAAGGTTTTTCTTTGTCTGAACTGATTCAGAAATGTACATGATTTGTGTGCTCATTTTCAAAAGGATCAATGACCTGCCTGGGTACTGGGTAGTGACTTTCAATCAACAGGAACGAGAAAATAGAAAATACAACACATTTTGTCGAGAGAGACTAGAGAGACTGCTGGTTACATTATGTTGACTAATGTATATGGGCCTGATTATTAGCTGAAGTACCAACTGTTGGTATACTCTAGCTTTAGATGTGCCACATAAGATGATATATTCAGAAAGGTTTTGGAATAAAGTATATTAGATTTAGCTAATTATTTGGTTCAGTATCTGTCTAAGGATCTGGTCCTCTTTGAATGGACATCTGTTTTCAAATCTGTCTTTCATACCAAGTTTACCACCTAATAATCCCCAGCCTCTAATTGGCTCATTTATCCACTTTCCTTTAAGTGTAACTCCCAGGTCATTGCTTAAAATATGAATGTGTTCTCAGTCAATGTTCCTGGTAAACAGGGGTTAAATAAAAGTCTGGAATATATTTACATTCTTTGGCATTCAATACAATTCATAGATTCACCTTTAAAAAACAGGTTATTTTCAACTCTTTATATTCATAATCACATAAACACTTAAGCCTAGGGCATTATTAATGTTATTTCCAAAGCCAAAAACCATTTCAGTTTGTTCTCAATATTGTATGATTGTCGGCTTCTTTGAAATGTTTTGCAGCATTCCAGCAGATGGCAGTGTGGTCTTCTCATTTGAAAACTGCTGCAGATAAATGTGTTGCATACATGCAACCTGTTTAGTATTAATGCTTTTTAAAACAACAACAACACAAATAAAAACCTGTAAGGTCGTTTAATACGTTTCTCATTTGTTTAAACATTTTAAATCATGTGAAATAAGTTAACAGATGTTTCCACTGTCAGAATTCCAATAGCAACCTTCTAAAATCTAGGGATTTGACCAAGTCTAAATATTGATAACTGTTTATTTGCTGTTCATGCGTGTGATTCAAATATAAAATGCAATATTGTAGCAGTACTGCCTCTTTAAAAGGCTGTACCTGCAGCACCTCCTCTTTTACTCAGAGGATGATGTCATTTTGGCTTTCCCCAGACTCTGGACAAATTATGCTGGGAGACGCTCAGTGTTTTTTCTCCTGCTCTATTGCTCTTCCTCGCGTTCGCTCTCTCTATTAGTAAGGTGACAGTGACTGGGGGAACCGATCAACACATTTCTCCCTCTGTCTTGTGCTGCTTTCACCTTGGCATCCTCTCATAGCAGTGATGTAGTCCTCTGCCTCTTTCAAACTTTAGCACCTGCTCAACTCTTTGGTGACCGACCTTTATTCATACGATTGGGATCTTTTCTTGTCTATGGCGAAACGCTGATTTTTGTTTTGCCGCTCCACCTGTTTGAGAGGACCTACGAGGATCTTATTAGAGTTTGAGGAGAAGGCGTTTCTTCATCTGCCCTGGTGGAAGTAGGAGACCATGGCAATGAAGGAGACCATTCTGCCCATCAGTGAGTTGTCTGGACCGGCCGTGGTGACCTACCCTGAGGTGGTGGAGCTCAACGTGGGTGGCCAGGTGTACGTGACCAAGCGGTCCACTTTGGTCAGCGTGCCTGACACCACCTTGCACACCATGTTCGGCCGAAGCCCTATGCGCGAACTGCCGAGGGACAGTCGTGGGCGCTTCTTCATCGACCGCGACGGCTTCCTGTTCCGCTACGTGCTGGACTTTCTGCGCGACCGCCAGCTGGTGCTGCCAGACCACTTCCCGGAGCGTGAGCGCCTGCAGCGAGAGGCCGAGCACTTCCAGCTGGGCGAGCTGCTACGCCTCCTGGGGCCTCGGCCTGGTTCCAAGCAAGGCTCTATGAACGACGAGGGCTGCCACAGCGACATAGAGGAGAGCTCGCAGGGCAGCGAGTACCCCATGGGCCGCAGCTCAACAACCTCAGACAAAAGGTCAGGGTTCATCACCATTGGCTACAGGGGCTCTTACACCACCGTGCGGGACAACCAAGCTGATGCCAAGTTCCGACGAGTGGCAAGGATCATGGTGTGTGGACGAATCGCCCTGGCCAAAGAGGTTTTTGGAGAAACGCTGAATGAAAGCCGGGACCCCGACCGTCCCCCGGAGAAGTACACATCGCGCTTTTATCTTAAGTTCACTTACCTGGAGCAGGCGTTCGACCGGCTCTCTGAAGCAGGTTTTACTATGGTGGCGAGTAACTCTACAGGGACAGCCGCTTTTGTCAATCAGTACAGGGACGACAAAATCTGGAGCAGCTATACAGAGTACATCTTCTTTAGTAAGTGCGAGATAACTCAACCATTTGCTTACATACTGTGCATATTTGAAAATGTTAAACCATCAAGGTTTCCAAGATTCTGTGATCTTTTTTTCAGGTTTTTTTTCTGAAATCATTTAAACAAAAACGTGTTTCAAACCACAACACAGACTTCTAGGGTGAATATTCAGTATGCACTCATCATTCCATTCTTGTTCCAGTAATACTTCTATTCATGATTTTTCGATGAAAACAATTGTTTTTTAAATTGAAAAATGGATAAAAATTCAAATGAAAAAATAGAAACAGATTGATAGATTGAGGGCTTTAGTAAGATGGCGTTTGAGGATGTATCAGAGGTCAGTTATTCCTGTGCTAATTAGATATGAAAAAGAGGCGACATAATTGCCAGGCAAATCTAGACATATTGTAGCAGTCTAATCAACATAATTAAATAAGAAAGACACAGAGTGGTTGTGCATGCCATCAGTTAGCTTTTATGTGTTATGCAAGTCTCAGTTTGTATCTGTGCATCTATGTGTGTCTGTGTGTGTGTGTGTGTGTGTCTGTGTGTGTGTGTGCCTGTGGGGACCTCAGGGGACTGAGTGATCTAAATGCATTAAATAATGCCCGTTCTTCATAATGACTAACTACGGTTAGATAATGTGTACTCTCTGACTGGTTGTTGGACCACCACACATATTCGACCCAGTCACTACTAATCTCCCCCACCTTCACCCCACCCGTTCATGTGTCATTGCTGTGAGAGGAGAACTTAGGGCCGGTTCCTGTTGGATGTGATGGCGTTGACAGTTAGACGGGAGTCTTGACAGGGGTAAAGCGGGCACACATGGGCACCAGGGGGTAGCGCTGTGGACAGGGCCTGTCGGACAGCTTTAGTGTGATGTGTCACCTCCTTGCGGGGGGGGGGGCTGCCTCGTTAACTCATCTCCTGTTAGGTTGAAGTCCGAGGAACCTAAGGGAGACCGGGGTGACGTGCGTATTGTCTGTCAGTAGCCATTAATTTATTAGGGATATTAAGATTATAATTTATTTTCATTCTAGACTAAAGTTAAGGTAGGGCGCAAAAAATTCTCCTATATCAATAAATTACCAATATTTTGGTTGGCCTAAATGCATTACAAGATCAATGACAGCTACAACACAAAACAACAGCGATTTTATAAAAATAAAAATACTTAAACAGTAGAATAAGTCCTCCCAGGTGCCAACAATCAAGAAAGGAGATTAAACAATTTTTTAAACATTGTGTTGTGCCACTGTATGGAATCACTTAGAAAATGTCCTTGTTCTTCATGAAAACATACATAAAATTAGTGTGAATGATAGCAAAATGATTATTATCTCCTTTAAACTTTGCTTTTGTCTAGGAATCCTCCAATTACAGCCTTGAAGACTTTTGGCATTCTAGTCGACAGTTTGTTAAGATAAAAGAGATAAGAAAGAGAATAGAAAGAGATTTCACCTTATGCTTTTTGAAGATCCTCCCAGGAGGTAAAATGGCTTTATGTGCACTTCTTGTGTACCATACAGTCAAGCTGCACCCAGATCAGCGCAATAGAGTAGAGATCTGGTGAATGAGCTGGCCACTCCATTATAGACTGACTTCCAGCTTTGAATACACCAATAAGTCCTACCCAATGCCAACAATCAGTAAATTATTTTTTAAACAAACTATTTCTAACAAGTTATTGCATAGTTTGTATCGCATGGTGTTGCGAAATGGAGTGATAGCCTTTCTTCTTCAAATTCCCTTTTACCCGGTACAAATCTCTCACCTAACCACCACCAAAGCACCATCAAAGCACCCCCAGACCATAACATTGCCTGCACCATTCTTGACAAATGGCATATTTCTCTAAAACTAGACTCATACTAATGTATTTGACCTCTCGCTCAGTTGTGTCGCGAGGCCTCCAACTTCTCATTCT